TTTATTGTGATATACATTTGCACCATTACACAATTTAAAAATTATTATTTACATGTGGTAGTCTAAAAGTTACGCATTACAGCATATTTATTTACATGTGTGATGATACAATAATAGATAGATTACATGTGGTAGTCTAAAAGTTATGCATCACAACATATTTATTTACATGCTTGTGGTAACCCAATGATACAATAACAGATAGATTGTGGCGCACGTTTGCATTATTGAACAATTCAAAAAATTATTTATGCATGGCAGCCTAAACATTATGTTTATTTATGCGTGGGTGCCATTCTAAACATTACGCTCATGTGAACCTAACATTTTTAATATAATAGATAGGTTCATTACTGTGGTCTTCACTAACCAGCCTTTTTCTGGGAATTTCGCAAACATTCCCTTGAATTGCTTACTAATCTGTCAGCAAAATTTCCAAGATTACTTTGGCCATGTCTTTGCTTCCCATGCTGCATTTGCAATTACAAGGGATAGCAACCCAAATTTCATTAATCCTGATCGTTTATGTGCAACACTTAAAATTCCTAAGAAACTTTCTGGTGAAATTAGTCGAAAAAGGCCTTTTTGATCATGAAATGAAATAATTGAAAAGATTCCTGAAATGCAGAGCCATCCGGATGCTGTAAAGATGATGTCATTTTTTCCTTATGGTGATGATGTGAGAGCTTTAGATTCACCAGCAAAGAAGCAGCATACTGAACCTTACTATAATATTGAATGTCAATGTATGTGTCATACTAATTTAAATGATACAGATAAGGAAAATTTGTGGTTGCAATGATACAAGAAGAAATCAATTTTTATATATAATATAATAATTTGATATTAAAAAATGATAAATGCTTTTTTATTGAACTGTGTTCTAATTTTTTGAGTAATTCATTCAAATGATTTAATAATTGTAATGAAAAACTTATTAATTAATTTGTTCAATTTGTTAAAATTTTTTCAAAATTTTTTTTCAATTTTTTCTTCTTTGTAACATTTGCATAATATATTAACATTAAGTTAAGAATGGATGAAAAGTCTGTATTCAATTTTTATAATGAAAAGTCTTGTCTGTGTTCAGTTTATCATGAAAACTCTTGTCAATCTTGCCAAAAGAAATACCAATAAGGAAATTGTTTGCATAAAAAACTATCAACCTTTCTTATATATGTGTATATTAGCTTTAGTTTTACAAATATATCCAAATTTTTTAGTTGAAAATTTAATTGAGTAGGAAAGTTACGTATTTAAAAAGGGAAAAAATAAGAATATCATTATTTATGATGACGATCTTGTATTAAAAAGAAATTTTTTTTAAGATATGCACGTATATGCATAATGATTTTAATTTATACTAAAAACAAGTAATAAATAAATTATTATATATTTCTAAAAAAATAATCATTGAGACTTGATATTTATTGAATGTACTAAAACAGACGAACAGATGCACTAATAGTTTTAGAGATGATTGTTTGTCAAATAAAATCATGAAAATTATCACCTTGAGAATTAAAAATATGAAGATAGAGAATACCTAAAAAGCAAAAGCAAAGCAGACTATTAAAATTCAAAAAGTTAGTAAAGAAAAGAGCAAGGAGAAGTTTCAAACTCATGTTTTGGAAAAGTTTGAGGCTCATATCTTACAACCAAAGTAAA